TGTGTGTTAGTGACTATAATTTGAGTAAAAAAGTATCCCAGTCGCGTAACTGAATAGTTCGCCTATATTCAGTGCTGATCCCATTCAGAAACTGATCCAAATGAACCAAATAGACCCCGTCGTGTCTAAATCTGCAATTACGTACCCTCCACCAATCGCGTTTTATTGCCCCAGATATGATCGCACAACGTGACTAACGTATTTGTCTCAAATGCACGTGTTGAACAATGCGCAACTGATTGTGAGTATTCTCTGTGATGGCAGACGTTATTGTTTCAGATTGTGATAAATGATGTTTATTGCGCAATGATTTTTTCGACAACTTGTTATATTTGTTCACTGGAAAAACATCTCATTCGAGAGTTCATCCCATCAATGAACAATTTATCATATCAGCACATTCAATTTGATTGTTTTCACTGAAAACTAACGAATTTCCTTGTTACTTTTACTTAATTTTCGTTTTAGACGTTTCACCGTTTTGGATTTTGGAAAATTTCCTTAATTTTACAGCAATTTTCTGATGTGAATTAAGTGCATTATATCGTTTCATTCGATGCAAAATCAGTGTTTATTGCACGGAATATTGTCTCCAGATTCGAAAGCTTTATTTTTCTATCAGTCCAACAACTCAATTTCTTCAGCTTCTATCTGCTTCACATTTTCGACCTCCACTAATAATTAAGGAACTGTTTGTCTTTGTTCGTAATTCTCTACCTGAAGCTTTCATTTGTGCTCCAATTCCTCTGCCGATTTTTTTAGGTGATTAAAAACACTTAAGTGCAGATAAATACTTAAAGATATATGATAACGAAGGACTGAACTGACCAAGAGATAAAGGGATATAGTGAAGGATTCTTTTTATGCGGATAATGGTGGCGATGAGATCTGGGTTCTGTGTCAGAGCAAGGTACGATTCAGCACGGTCAATCCCAGAACAGATCCTCTGAAATGGTTTGGATCGTCCTTTCAGAAACAAACACAAACAAACACAAAAGAATTGTCTTCGGAAGAGATGATGCGTTGTTATTAATGATGGATATTTATTGTCCATCTTTCAAATTTCAACACTACTGAATGGTTTCATTTTTAATCAAACGTCACTCCCAACTTTCCTTCAGATCTTTACAATTTTACCCATCAGAAACCAAGCTGTGCATTTTCACAATGATTCTAATGGAGTAATTTCATGGCATTGTTTTTTGTTGTTGTAGCTACATGGTAGAATTCTAAGAATGATAAAACAATTCTTCACTTAAAATAAGTGAACATTTATCCCGACGTTATTTGGAAAATTTCTTAACAAAATGCTGTCCAAGAAGGAAGCCAAAATCGAATCACTCACAACTTCAGCTC